CACACACACACACACACGCACGCACACGCCAGTGTGCAGATACGCATCGTAGCGTGTTCACAGACGCACACGCACTGCTCGCTCTGCCGCCGACGAGCACATCGCACTCTGCCGACACACATTTCCAATTGTGCCCACCGACACAACTTCGCACCGGGATCGCAGACACACACACACATCACACCGCGATCGCAGAATCACAGACAACGCAGCGAGCTCGCAGAAACACACATATCGCACCCTGCAGACAGACACACGCATCGCACCGGGCTCGCAGGGACACAGACATCGCACCCTGCCGACCGACATACACATTACACTGCGATCGTAGGGACTGACGCACCGCAGCGGGCTGACGGGGACTCGCACATCGCACTGCGACCACACGGACACACGCACCTGCAACGGTGCCTACCGGCCCCTCCCCCGCATGCCTGACTCATTGCGTCACAATAACCGGCGAGGCGGAATTTCCCAGCCGGCCAATGAGGAGAGTCTCTGCCCGAACATCTTCAAAACGGCTTCATGCCAGCCAATAGCAAACGCGATAGCGCTTCCACCGGCTTTCGGCGCCCAATAAAGGGAAGAGCGCGCCCGGTTGCCGCCAGAACGCTCGAACGCGAGCTCTTGTCGCTGCTGAGCCCGGACCGGCCGAATTCCCACCCAAGAAGGGCTCCAAGGCCTTCGTCCCCTCGGCGCCCAAGAAGGGCGACACGAAAGATGGCGAGGGCTGCAAGGAGAGCTACTCGATCTACGTGTACAAGGTGCTGAAGCAGGTGCACCCCCCGACACGGGCATCTCGTCCAAGGCCATGGGCATCATGAACTCCTTCGTCAACGACATCTTCGAGCGCATCGCCGGCGAGGCGTCGCGCCTGGCGCACTACAACAAGCGCTCCACCATCACCTCGCGGGAGATCCAGACGCCCGTGCGGCTCCTTCTGCCCAGCAGCTCCTGCTGCCCGGTGAGCTGGTCAAGCACGCCGTCTCCGAGGGCACCAAGGCTGTCGCCAAGTACACCAGCTCCAAGTAAGCTACTCCTGCACTTGGCGCCGGACCCTCTCGACCCAAAGGCTCTTTTAAGAGCCACACACGTTTTCCTTTAAAGAGCTTTGTCACTTGTCTATTCCAAGGGTAAGTTAACTTTTCTACTTTCTAAACTTATGTCAGAGGGCGTAAGATGTTCTGCATGCTATTGCAGTTATTTCTTTCTGTCTTTGAAGCTGATCACCCTTAGCCTGACACTGTGAAAAGCAAAGTGCTTTTATGGGAGCACGGTACGATGTGCTTCAGAAATTTCCGTGATGCCCATCAGAGGGCAGTAGAGGATAAGAAATCACAATAGGACTGGGGGTTAAACCTCATCTCTGTAAAAGCTATCCTACGCTTAATTATTAATAATCCTAGCAGTATTGATTTCATTCATCTCCAATTGCAATTCTGAAAACTTATGAGGAAATGGTTGACATATCAGCAGGTCTAATTGATTAGACCAGAATATTTCAATAGATCTTTTTTTCTAGATGGGAAAGACTATTGAATAACAGGATGCCTATGAGATAATTAAAACAAAATTGAAAAGCTAGAAGGTAATGTTTAAGTAAGCATGAATATAAATGTATGATGAATACCATAACAGGTGATGGTATGGAAGTAGAGATCCAGCAGGTGCTGTATGGTTCCGTTGCTGAGAACGGCCCATGCCACTGTGAAAAGTACTCAGTGACCGGGGGTCTCTCCCCAAGGCAGTGGTGGAGTAGCAGTCGGCGGTGCATGCGCCGTCACCACCTTCCCTTTCTGTCCTTCCAGGTGCCAGGGATTCTTGCTGGTCAACAGCGTGGGCCAAGTGGACAGCACAGAAGACAACAGGCAAGAAAGCGTCCCTCAAGCAGCTGGCCACTGGCACCAGTGCATAGGGCCACGAGGAGCATGGAGAAGCCACACCACTTCGGCTGGACAGAGGAATACCCTTCAGAAAGCCATAATCAAGAACTAAAAAGTAAAAGGTACAGACCGAAAAAAACCAACGTGACCCAGAAAAAAAAAAATAGTTATGGAAAAAAAAGGGCTTCTAGGCACATAGGAAAGGGTTTTTGCAGCATATCTCAAAAAATAAAATCACAGCAAAATATGGGAATTAAAGCTCTTTTACTGAAAACATGTGTGGCTCTTAAAAGAGCCTTTGGGTCGAGAGGGTCCGGCGCCAAGTGCAGGAGCAGCTTACTTAGAGCTGGTGTACTTGGTGACAGCCTTGGTGCCCTCGGAGACGGCGTGCTTGGCCAGCTCGCCGGGCAGCAGGAGCCGCACGGCCGTCTGGATCTCCCGCGAGGTGATGGTGGAGCGCTTGTTGTAGTGCGCCAGGCGCGACGCCTCGCCGGCGATGCGCTCGAAGATGTCGTTGACGAAGGAGTTCATGATGCCCATGGCCTTGGACGAGATGCCCGTGTCGGGGTGCACCTGCTTCAGCACCTTGTACACGTAGATCGAGTAGCTCTCCTTGCGGCTCTTACGGCGCTTCTTGTCGCCCTTCTTCTGCGTCTTGGTCACCGCCTTCTTGGAGCCCTTCTTGGGCGCGGGCGCGGACTTGGCCGGCTCAGGCATCGCGAGGCGCCTCCACCGCCCCCAAGCAGCGCGCAGCCAAATGCGGCGGGGGGGGGCGGCCG